AAGTTGTCCTGGGTCTTCCCCAGGGCTTCTGGGTTACGTTTGTTCCTCATTTTCTTCCGTGACCTCTGTAAAGCAGTGGATTTCAGTGCTTAGCTAGAAGTGGACTGGAAGAGCTGTGGAAGGTGGCGTTCATCACATGGTTTGGTGGACCTCAGCAAAGCTGGTGCCCTCCTCTCTCCCTGTTCCAGCCAATTGAACAGCGGACCCCGAAACCTCTCTCAGCTCTCAAGACAGAGGTGTGGGAAGCAGGATTTTTTTAGGAATAGTGTGTTTTGCTTTGATAGAAAAATATTCATGCTCCAAACACGGATTTGGTCCTAGTACAGGGCTACGTGTGGTGAGAAAGAACCTGTTGCCTCTGGTGAAGATCTTGTAGGAAACCTGTATTTGGCACTTTGCTGTTGAGATTTCTGGTCACTTAAAGTTGTTTGAGGGTGACGTTTGTCTAAAGAGCCTCACGCAAAGGCATGGATTTTCTAGTCGAGCAAAGGGCCGGAGGGTTTTTCGGACATTTGAATGTCCAACCTTTTTAAAATGGCCCCGACTCAGGATTGCGGGACTATTCATGTCGTATCTGGGCAGCTTCTTAAGGTAGAGGTGTGGGGGTGGTTTCAGGAGCTGGAGTGGCTAGAAGTTGCCCAGCTCTGCCTTCCCAACACTGCGGGGCCGTGACGGCTCCATTCAGTTCGTTTCGGCGTGGAAGGGGAGGGAGGAGGCTTTGAACCACCACCTTGTTCCTCCAACGGCACGCGCCAACCTGCTGTCCAGAAGCACCAGTTGTGCCACCAAAGGTTTATCGCGCATCGCCCAGGACAAAGAGAGCGTCCCCCCCACTGGAGGAGCCGCTGTAAACCCTCCCCCCGGTCGCCCTTTGCTGCTTCCGTCTCCTGATTTTTGGGGGGAGTGGGAGGGGAAGGGAAGTCGTAGGAGGCCATGGCGGCAGGGAAGGAGGGGGGGGGCTCCGCGGCGAGAGGCCTGACCCATTCAGCGGGGCTGAATACGATAAACGCCGCTTTATCCTTTCTTGAAAGGAACAAGATAGCGCGGCCTAAATGCCTGGGTGTGCTTAAATAGGCAACTCCGGGACGCTGGAGTCGAGGGCGTTTGAAATCGGAGCTGCCCCGACAGCCGGGGAGCTGCCACAGGTCACCTGCCTCGCTCCATGGGGACAGGCCCAGGTCTGGCAAGAAATCGTCCACGGGCAAATTGTAGTACAAATTCCTTTCTTTGTCGGTTGGCCTCTTTTCGCTAGACCGTGGCCTATAAAAAAAAAAAAAAAAAAAAAAAAGAGAGAGAAAAAAATTTGGAAAAAAAAA